CGGAATTTTCATAGTTATTTTACTTGATACTCTTTCACTCATTGAAGTGAATCATATATAAATTATAGGTTATAGTCTTACACAGCAGCTGATGACTTTCTGTTACCTTTGCTCAATTTTTGGATACTTAGTTTGTGATTTTAGAACAAGTTTAATGTTCAGAAAATCCTAAGGACCTGAAATTCCCAAGAATGTCTCTTCAGTTTCTTCTGACACTTTAGGTTAGTGTTATCTGATCTATAATATTATTTTAAATATTTTGCAGCTTCCACAACTGGCATTTTATCTGTGAAATGCTGATAAAACAGCACAGCAAAGTCTCAAGGCTACTCGGAATACTAGGAACAGATGCAATACAAAAGATTTCAAATTGCAACATCAATAATGCTTTTTTATTGAACACAGCAGCAACAGAATTTTGCAAATATACTTAGAATATAACCTTGTAAGAAGTGTATAACACTTAATTGGCAAGAGAAGTCAACAATTTATTAATGTCACCAATAAGTAAAAATTTACCTTGGTATAACCCAAAGCTGCTTTATCAAGACGTCAAATTAACATTAAACATTACCTTTTTTTCATCATTCCTATGGCTTAAGACTACATATTTCCTCTATGCTCAAAGAGTTTATTAACAAAAAAAGTAAAGCTAGTTAAAAGTCTAAGAAATATAATAATTGCAGAGACAGAAATGATACTAAGTATTTGACTCTCACTCTTAATATGTTATAGCAGAATGAACAACACCAAGAGAAGATCATTTTTCTTCCAGCATTTTTTCTATATGCAACTGTCTGTGGTCAACTTTGCTGAATGATTTAATAAATCCCAGACATTACTTAACCTTCTGGTATGTGAGTAATGCTATTCTCTAGTTTGAAAAAATAAGATTTAAATCACTTGAACTTTAACTATGCAATGAAAGAGAGAACATGTATGTTTGAAACAGTACTATAAAAGTAAGACCGAAAAATGCCAGTGTTAATACTGTTTCATAACAGTTACACATTCAAACATCTACAGATAACAAGAAAAAAAATCCCTCCAAAAGACGTTTCTAATTTGTTGTTAGCACAGCAGCTAGACAGGAGACAGAATATCTTATTCTGCACTGTGACACCATGGAGATTCTTCTCCAAAAGTTTCAGAGTGGACGATTATATACGAGGAAAGCTTCTCAAAGAAAATCTCTTAACTTAAACCCGGTAACTATTTCAGTTCTTTATACATAGTATTTAGGTCAGGAAGTGTAACAGCCTTTAGCAGGGGAAGAAGAGTATGTTCCTAAAGCCAGCGTCACGGGATGCCACGACATTTGTCTTGAGAGCTAGCCAAGACCAATGATTTTTTGATTAAACAAAGCACATTTACCAAAGAATGTTTCCTGTAGTGTTTTTCCTTCCTTTTCTTTTGTATGAACATTGTTTGGGATAAGCAACATGAAGTATGTTTTTCAGGAGTATCATTGGTAATTATATTTCATATGCAATGCTATGACAGATTTTTTTCCTGTTTTCTTTGCTTGGAAAACTCACATCATTGCACAAGAACAAATGGGGACAGAAAGCACTGGTTTGGCACCAATTTTCACAGGTTCAAACAATTGCAAGAGAGATGGCAAGTTTCTTTGATATATACAGTGGTTTATTGCTCTTTTTAGCCCTCAGGTTGAAAGATCTGTTTTATATGAACTTTACTGTTTTTCTTTCCTTATCCCACCCATCCTCAGTGGACCTTTCTTTGATGTGTAACTTATTTAAAGACTATGAGTAAATTTAAACAACATGGTCTTTCTTCATATTCTGTGACGTATTTGCTGTGTGATTTGCTCTATTATACCTAGTCACTCAGTTGCATCTGAACTAAAAAGGTCAACAACTCTGGACTCAGCATACCAGCTGAAATGGAGGCTTATTTTAGCTTTCTATGAGACCCTTAAGCCCAACTGTTAATTGCAGACAGGCAATGAATCAATTCTTGACACTGGGATTTGAAGTTTGCCTCTGGGCTGTTTGCCATATCAGTCACAAATACCTTGGAAGAACTCTCATTAAACATGTTGTACTGTAATTAGGCCAGCACAGCTCAGGAAGGCAGAGTTTAACTTAATTCTTTACATACTATCACTTCTGCCGAAGAAAGTCTGGTCAAATATATTATATACACATACCTGGAAAGGAATTTAATCACTAAAGCTTGTAAGATTTTACTACAATCCAAATAAAATAAAAGCTGAAAATTTTGCTCGTTATCCCAGGCCAAGAGCCAGTTTCAGGGGCAGAAGAGCCAGAGGAACCTTGTAGGCAAAAAGAGTTTGTGAGAGTTTTAACGTGTTATGGAGCAATATCACCATGTTAAGCTTTCATAATCAAATGGAATGATTTGAAAGTGAGAAATAAAAGCATTTATTCCAAGGGTATATGTTACTGCCATGGTGTGTTTTGTTTTTCTAAAGTAGGAAAACTGTAAAAATAATAAGAACACTTTTTTGAGCAAAGAGTCTGCGAACAATCAGAAAAGAATGAATTTTACTGAATCAAATGAAGGAAAGGAGAATATGAGCTAATGCTAATGAGAGTGATGATCTGCAATTGTTACATTGCTCTGTTCTTGAAAAGCAACTGAAGTAAATCTTCAAATAAGCAACATTCTAGAGAAATAACCAATGCCTCTATCCTGCAGTAATTTCCTGATTGCTCATATGGACTATCTAAGTTTCAAAATATTCCTAAAAATACTCGTAAAAATGAGTATGCATTAGAGAAGCTCTGCTGGTCCTCAAAATCACGATATCAAAATGGGGGATTTATGGTAAACAAGTTAAGCCTGAGCCAGCAATGTGCCCTTGTGGCCAAGAAGGCCAATGGTCTCCTGGGGTGCATTAGGAAGAGTGTTGCCAGCAGGTCCAGGGAGGTGATCCTGCCCCTCTACTCAGCCCAGAGGAGGCCACATCTCGAGTACTGCGGGTACAGTTCTGGGCTCCCCAGTACAAGAGAGACATGGCGCTACTGCAGAGAGTCCAGTGGAGGGCTACAAAGATGATTAGAGGGCTGGAGCATCTCTCCTCTGAAGAAAGGCTGACAGAGCTGGGCCTGTTGAGCCTGGAGAAGAGAAGATTGAGAGGGGATCTCATCAATGTTTACAAGTATCTGAAGGGGGGGTGTTGGGAGGATGGGGCCAGTCTCTTCTCCGTGGTGCCCAGCGACAGGACAAGAGGCAACGGGCAGAAACTGAACCACAGGAAGTTCCATCTGAACCTGAGGAAAAACTTCTTTTTTGTGAGGGTGACAGAGCATTGGAATAGGTTGCCCAGAGAGGTGGTGGAGTCTCCTTCGCTGGAGGTATTCAAAACCCGTCTGGATGTGATCCTGGGCAATATGCCCTACAGGACCCTGCTTGAGCAGCGACTAGATGATCTCCAGAGGTCCCTTCCAACCTAAACCATTCTGTGATTCTGTGATGGTGACCACCAGTCTACAACTGACAGCTACCTGTATACATCCTAAAACAAAATCTATCCATTTTTATCTCTATGTTTTATGAACATCACTAAAAATACTGCCATATTGATATTGACATGTAGTAATGCATACTCATAAATCAATGAAAGTAAAATAGCAATAATGAAACAAATGTCCCAACTTTCACCTCAAATGTTTATCACTTTCAGACAGCTGCATGCATTCCAAAACCTACACTAACTTCTCTGGTTTTCCAGTGGTGTGAACATTTTCTCAAAATGTTATGTATGAAAATACTTTATAACAAAAATGGAAACAAGGACACCAAAATAAACAATACAATAATCAACATTTTAATGATCTGTGATTGTAAGAGAAAGCTTAATTCAGTAAAGAGGACCAGGAAAACAAAAGCTTAAACATTTTATGCATGACTCTGTGATCCATTAAATGCCCGTGTGGAACAAATGTAGTTTTTCAATTTCCGTTCCTTTTTCTAAACAACTTCTCGTTTATCTGAATTCTCTGAAATATAGCCTATGCTAATCGACTGGCAATTAGCCTCTGCAGGGATTTGTAATCATCCTCCAGATACATTTTTAAAAATATGAATTGCTTTTGCAGTCCATTAAGTACCCTTCCAGAAAATATATTTATTTTTTAATCGGATGATGGCGATATAAACAATTAAAATGAGTTATCCAGAACTGCCACATGTTAAAACCCTGCCAGGAAATTGCTTGGGAAGCTCTTGTGAGATCTAATTCATGCTGCATTTTCAAAGCCGTATGAAGTCCTGTATGTATACTATTAAAGTACTGTTAGAAATTTCTTTAGTGTCTAGTTTGTTTTTTGTTTGTTTGTTTGTTTAATCTGACATGGTCAATTCATTAAGATGTTATTTGCATCTTCATGCTTTATATCTTATTGGCTTGTAATACAGCTGTGATAGTGTGATGGGGATTATATACAGCTAGAAACAGGTAATGCCTAGACAATAATCAAGGAACAACTCAGAATGAATTAAGCTGTTGTGGGCAGGGGAAAGAGCAGAAGCAGAAGATTTGGGAAAACAAGGCTGAGATCTGATGCTGCAGATTGGTGAGCAAGGGAAGTATGGGACATGCCTTTCATGGAAATTAGATAATATATGCCATGGATATATCAATTATACAGGAAGAGAAGTCCAATATGGAGATGCTCTTAAATAAACTGAGCTATTTGCAGGTAGGTGTCTGTCTAATTATTGGTCTCTATAATGCATGTTTGCTTTTATTTCCAAGGCACCAAGCATTTATATGGATGCTACTGCATAACAGTAGTAATAAATATGCTCCCAAATTCTGCTGATTAAACTTAGGAAG